ACTGCAGTTGATGACTGGAAGTCACAATATATACACACACACACACACACACACACACACACTCGTTTTCACATCTTAGTGAGGACATTAACTGAAATAATGTTTTCTCTTGCAGCTTAACCTAACCATCAAACATGAACTAACGCTGAGCCTAAACCTAACCATAACCTAACTGTGACCCTGACCTCAAACATGTCTTTAAACTCATGGGGAGTGACTGTTGGTCCCCACAAGTATAGTGGCATGGCAAACTTTCTGTCCTCACAAAGATGTCTAAACACGTACACACACGTCTGAACCTGTACTGCTTTTTCAGCAAGCAGTAAGGCAGAGCAGAGTCTGTGTCATCACTGTGAGAGCTGTGAGGATAATGAAGTTTTAAAAGGCAGCGAAGAGAATTATTTTGAAATTATCTTGGAATCCGTCATTTGAAGCATTTGACACAGTCAAAATCTGTGGAGATCTACTGATAATAATCTCTTTTATGGATCTACAAGGCTAAAAAATCTCCTCTATGTTCGTCCGACCATAAACATGAGCTGGATAAACCTCCCTCACAGGTACATCGTTCTCCATCACTGCTCGTGCAAAACATCCTGACTGAGCTGAAACTGTAACTGTTAGTGAAACAAAGGTTAAAAATAACAATAACTGTCTTTTTTATTCATTGTTTCTTTTTAGTTTCATGAAATGTAAATGTCATATTAAAGGGAGCCCTGGCTGAGAAGCTATTAAAGGTTATGAAAATGAGTCACGTTATGAGCTCCACATGTAATGTAAGCACTGCCATCTGCAGGTGAAATGAGCACACTGCGACTGACCTGTTTGAGTTATTCCAGCAAAATAAATGACGGCTGACATTGCTACTGTTAACCATTCATGCGTGTGTGTGTCCATTTCTGCCTCTGCTAATCTTTTTCCACTAAACCTGTTTCACATGTTCTATTTGTGCCTGTTTATAAACAGCTTTTCTTATATAGACTGAGCTGTACGTTTTCACTCTTTTTGCTGTCTTCATTGAAGTTGCTGCTATTTTCATGCATTCTGTTGTGAGACGAGTGAGAAAGACCATCTACAAACTACGACTCTTACTTAGTTTTGCTTTATCAATAACCTTCTTTCTATAGCGTTATGGACCAGCTGCAGATTCACCTTCCACATGAAGGAGACACAGACCAGTGTACTGGTAGTGCTGGTACCAAACCCTGATAAATGGGGGGACTGGGTGAGGAGGTGTGGATCCACCAAACTAAGTGAGGAAGCATCAGGATCAGCCTTAATCATAATTTGTGACTGTAAACTTAATGTGAAGTTTCCTAAAATGTTTCCCTTTCCTTTCTCCTCTGCATCAGGTTTGCATCACAGCTGAATAAGTTTGCTCCAAAATAGTTTTTATCTGTTTGGCTTTATTTTCTGACCAATGGCAGCCTTCACGAGCTAATGAGGGGTGAGGCTCGTCTTGGGAAATGGCTCCTGACGCCGGGGCAGCCATAAGCACGCCCGTGCACACATCCTCCCTGCACCGAGAAAACAAACGGACTCATTTTAAAGTGAATCGTCTGACGCACTGAAAGTTTTCTCAGCTTCATAACTGGACTCTGAGTCGTAATCCTGCTCTTTAAGCAGAGAGCGAATGAACAGATAGCAGAACAGAACCAGCACCGTCGTTCCCATCAAAGCTATTCCCACGAAGATGCCGACCAGTCCTGCGTGTGACGTCTCAGGTTCGGTCAGGTCCCCTGCTGCTGTAGAAAGACCCAGCATGTCATTCATGGTCATTTTAAAAACAATCCATTAAGAAACACGTTTGATTTTAAAGACGCTGCATTGTTAAACATGTTGAAAGGTTTTACTGAACAGATTTACCGGTGACGTTGAGCCGGCAGCTGTCAGAGCCGTAGCCGTGATCCGTGCTCACTTTGCACACATACAGACCTGAGTCGTGAGTCGTCAGGCCGGACAGCTGAAGCGCGATTCGTCCTTCTGTGAGGGCATCGCTGTCGCTCCAGACTCGTCCCGCAAACCGTTTATCCTGAAGCTCTGAGACCTCGACGCCATCCTGCACACGATACAGGACTGAGAGCTCCTGATCGGCTATCAGGTCGCAGGAGACAAAAAGCAGACTGGGCGAGCTGTTCGTTGTGGTGGTGAAGTTCCACTCCAGAGTGATGTTGTCGTTCTCCTCCGCCTGATAGAAGCTCTGTGACACGATCAGCGATCCTGTGGAGGAGACACAACCAGAGGAGCCCACGCTGAGAACAGAAAAGAGCTTAAAGCAGTCGAATCAGCGAGTGAGGTTCTGTAAATGATGGTATGATGAAGAGAAGGGTTAGACCAACCACAGACACAGGGCAGGAGGATGATGAGCAGCAGGACTCTGTCGAGCATCTTCCTGTAGGAGGAGACAGAGATGAAACCCAGACAACCTCTCCTCACTCCGTCCCTCAGAGCAGAGGCCCCGCTGGTGGGGGCCAAATGCATATAAATCATATCTACAGCAGAAGTATAAAAACTGTTTGTTTTTTTCACAGTAGGTAAAATGTTCAACATAACAATAATACGTTTAGTTTATTAGCAAGATTCCTGTTAGGAATATTTTCTGAGTTACTCCCAAGTTTAGGCTCAAGAGCTCGGGAGTCCAAACATATCTGCCATTTTTTAACCTCAGATGTAGAACAGCTCAGCATCAGAACCGAAGGACAGAATCACATTTTTTCATGTATGTTTTCATCTATAAGCAGCTGTGAGCATCAGGTTTCTGAATCAAAATGTTCTGAACAAATTCATTTAGTTTTTTAAGAAGTAAGTTTTAATAACTGTTTGTACATTTTTAACTTATTTTTGGATTGTAAAAAATATCTAAAAGCAGCTATTATTGGCATTAAACTTTCTATCATATAAAATCTGTGCATTTATAAACACGAGTTTGGTAACTTGAGGGTTACATACTACGTTCTACTCGACTCTCACAGTAACACAACTAAAACTGCTGCAACTGATGGATTTCACAGCTGATGTTACAGGTTACTTCCTGAATAAGGTTCAGCAGGGAGGGAAAATAAGAAATCAAGAAAACAACACACAGACAGGAGCGCTTCAGTCTTCTTATGTCTTTCACTCCATCATCATACACATTACATAAACCATTCAGCATTATTAAACCACAGAATAGTGTCAGTTCTTATACGTTACCTTGTGTGTCTTCTGTCATATGGGAACAGACCGACTCA